CCACAGCTAGACTCACGCCTGCCCGCCGACCCTGCCATCTGAAAATATAAAGTAGGGGGTGAGTACGGTCAACTTGTACTCCATAAAAACCCATTCTAAAGTAAACAGCATTAATAATAATGATATCACAGAACTGGTATATTTAAGTAAACTGAAATCTCCCGGAACACTATGGCCGGTAACTCCCGGAACACTCTGGCCGGTATCTCCCAGACTCTCTGGCCGGTAACCGTGTGCACACTCTGATGGTAAAACTATGGCGAACTGGGCCACCACCAGAACTTAGGGAAGGAAAACTTGGCCTTAACCCCAAGCGGATAAAACTCATATACATACCTGAACGTGATATCGACTATTATACTCAATGTATAACCCAGACTGGGTCCCCATCTGATCTGCTTTGAAAATATGTAAGTGCGGTTGTGCCGGTAGCTGACTCTTCAAGCTACATAAAAATATAAGCAAACAAATATACTAAGTACTATGCTCGTCATATGCTCAATAATATACTAAGATTCTCTACTCTATTAGATTACTCATCCGGATAAAAAGGAACGCTCTATGGGTTCACTAATATAATTCTAAGTCCGGAAATTAGACTGACATGCTCAACTGATCTGGTTTGGCTCGGAAAAATTACTAAAATTTCAGAATATAACTCGGACCAAAGAACCAATACTGACTCGAACCACCGGTTAAACCGGCCGGTTAGCTAACTAACTGAATCGGGTCGGGCTGAACCGGACCGGGTTGGACCACCGATTCACTCTGGACCGGGTGGTCACGGGCTGCTCGGACTGGCTGGGCTCGGTCCCGAGCAGGACCTACTGGTACCCTGGCGCGGTGCTAGGCACGAGCTGGGTGCAACCGGGCCTCTGTACTAGGCGCTACTGGGCGCGGGCAGGTGCAGCTGGCACAAGCCCTGGCACAACTGGTGCCACTAGGTGCTGCTGGGCACGACTAAGGGTGATTGGGTGCTCTGGTGCGCTGCTGGCGCGAGCACGGGCACGACTGGTGCCACTCGGGTGCTACTGGGCACAGTCGAGGTCAACTGGCGCTGGAAGTGCGACTGGGCACTAGGGCGTGCGACTGGTCACGGCCCGAGGGCAGCTGGCGCGAGAACTCGCGCAGCCAGGCACTACTCACGCGACTCTGGCACGACTGGGTTGGTAGGGCGCTGTCGAGTTACCCTCGGCACACGGGCGTGCTGCTGGGCATGTCCCGTGGCCAACTGGAACTAAGGAACACGACTAGGGTTCACTGGGCACGGCACTGGGTGCTACGGCATGCGGCTGGCACGACCCAAGGCTTACACCGCGCAGCACGAGCGACTGGCTCGAAGCCACGCGTGTACTGACGCTGGACAGCACGGCCGAACGCTGTCGGAGGTGCTTGGGCGCGACTGGCGCCAAGACCTCGCTCACTAGCACGGACAGGCGCTGCTGGGGCGCTGTCGCGTGCGCTGAGGGTTGCGGTGCCTCGCGTTTGCTAGACGCGGGCACGGACAGAGGCACTGCCTGGCCTCTGCGACGCGGCACGGGCACGGCACGCACGACTAGCGCGGCTGATGACCCTAGCCCGTCTTCCGGCCACTATTTCCAGTGACTACTGAACCAACCCAACATTGTATAACATAATACACATAAAAATGTCATAAGTCACTGAGAGACCGCGGGTGGATAATGAGGTGGGCTTATAGGGCCTACACGGCTCGTGGCCACACTAAGTCACCGAAATGAACTTGCTAAACATATAAATTCACTTAGGGCCGAGTTATCAACATTAAAAATCATGGCTATGGAGGCTAGAACATTGGTCATAACATGCATGCACATAAACTTAGGTGTTATGCTCGATAATTATAAGTATCCAAGAGCTCTAACACTCAGCTGAAGGTGAGTTATAAATGGGAGCTGATGGGCGGAGCAAACAAGGCTTCAAGTGGAGGACATGCTTCAGTTCCATGCGCATAGGAGTTGGGGAGAATCTTGGACTTGATGGCCTGACTTTGCACGTTTTAAGGAGCTTCTTGCAGAGTATAATATGATGGGGAAGTAGTCTGTCGAGCTCCCATGAAGTGGGGGACAATCCTTAACCCACATGCATTATAATATTAGCTTGCACATGCTTCATTTTGGAGTTACTTGTGATGACTTATGCTTAATCTTTATTAGGGCTAATTTGGCTTAAATTAACCCTTAAGAAGCTGGTAATAACCGCATGATATTGGGCTTAAAATAAATGGGCTAGAACTCAAGCATTTGGGCTCAAGAAGGGGGTTGTGCAAGCTGCCGCTGGGCCTGGCGCGAGGGACACGGGCGCGGCACTTTGGGTTGGGGCGCGCGGACTTGTTGGGCTTGCTGCTGCGCGCGGAATGGACTTGGGCCGAGTTTAAGGTTTGGATGATGGCTTCATAGGTGCCACAAGACTTAGAAAAATTTCCACCTAATACTCGATGATAACTTGGTGCGGACTAGGCACGGTTTTGGCCCGAACTCGCGAACCCTATGCGCGAGTTATCTCGGGCCACGCACGAGCTCGGTGCGGCATAAACGATCGAGAGAAATGATATCTAAGGTTCAATGAACATGATCTCATACTTAGAAAATATTCTAAGTAAGATTATGAGTGCGGCTAGGCTCGATACTCGTGACCGAACGACTCGGTTCTGGACACGGCTTGACTTGGTCGATATGTCGAAACGTACTCGGTTTCGGTTATTCGTCAACTTGGATAATTAATTCCGACTGAATAAAAATCTATTTCTAAAAATAAATGGACCGGAATTAATAACTGAGATTGAATAGCTGATAACTGGGCTCGGAACTCAAAACGAGCAGTATTAATAAATAGAAATAGTTCAACTTGGAACTAAAAACTGTCGCTTTTATTAATACAGAACTAGGCTATTACTCATTGTTTGAATAAAGAAGTTAAAAACTTGGAGGCTCCTAGGACTTCTATGATTCCCACCCCTTTTTTCGGAATTAGACACTATATCATTGAAGTCACCACCTAAAAACCAGGTGTGACCCCATTGGGATTTATCCTGACACAATTGCAACCATTGTTCCTCCCTTATGGCAGGGTCTATACTAGCATAGACAAAAATGGCTCAAGCAATATGATCAGGAGAATCAAAAGAGAAACAGATTTGCAAACAAAATTGGGAAGGGATGATTTTGAGAATTTGAATTTTATCTGACCAACAGAATGTGATGATTATTCATTCACTTGAATTTTATATACCCTTGATATTTCTTTTTAATATTGGACTGTGCAATGTGCACCCCACAAGATTTCATTGGAGAGTACAATTTATATAAAAAATAGTAAATAAAATTGATGTAAACTATTAAATTAATATGAAAAATAATATAAAATAATAAATAAAAAATTTAAAATAATAATTTAAGTTTAATAATATAAAAATTTTAAACCGGTCATTTTAGTATATGGGTAACGAAATATACTGTACAATCTAATAGTTAATAAGGTGCAATTCGTCCAACACTATGGTGCACGATTTCGGTCTGTATTGTGCAAATTGAACCAACCAAATTATTATTCCAAATCAAACTGAAAATGAACACAATTAATTAATTTATTCAGTTCAGTTAACCAAATTATCATAAGTTATCGAATTTGTTATTTATATTGAAATTTATTTATTATGTTAATAATTTTATTAAGTATTTTTAAATTATTTTTTGGTTGAAATATTCTGAGTTCGGTCGGTAACGATCTATATTGTGCGATTTGATAGTCGTGATAAAGTGCAACGCGATGTTTTATAAAGTGCAACACGTTGTTTCATAAAGTGCAACGTGATGATATATAAAGTAAACTACTGTAAGTTTATATAGTATTTTTAAATTATTTTTCGGTTGAAATATTTTGAGTTCGGTCGGTGTCGATCTGTATTGTGCGATATGATAGTCATGATAAAGTGCAACGGGATGTTTTATAAAGTGCAACACGTTGTTTTATAAAGTGCAACGTGACGATATATAAAGTGAACTACAGTAAGTTTTGGTGTGTTAACATGCTTGTGTTTTTTGTGGACATATGGTGTGATGAATATACTGGGTATGTTGTTGTTGTTGTTGTCGTTGTATGGTGTGATTAATGTTTAAGTATTGTGTAGATTTGTTTTCTAGATTTATGTTGTGTGGTATGTTGGCGGGAGCTATTGACGTTAATTGTGGAGTGTGGTGATAAACTACATCGTGGTGTTTTATAAGGTGCAACTTGATGTTTTATAAAGTGCAACATGTTAATATATAAAGTGTACTACATTATATGATCACATATAAATTATGTGTTTTTGTAAACTAGATTTAGTAGATATAATTGTGCGTCGAATTAATCTAAATAATTGAAATTATTTTTTATTTAATATTATTAAAGTATACTTATTATTTTAATATTTTTATATATATTAAAATTGTACATATTAAAATTTGTAAACATTGTACATTTTACTTATGTTTCTTTTTCTTTTTTTCTTTTTTTTTATGTTCAAGTTCAAACTAAAAATGTACTAAAATAATTTTATTATTTGGTTGGTTGATCTCATTAACCTAAATTGATGAAATATTTATTATTTATTATTATAAAACGGGAATCTATGTTTTCTTTGTTTCATTGTCTAACAAAATCTCACCCAACTTCATGCCTTTTATCCTCTTTCTTTATTTATGAGGGGTTTGATGAGAGATAAGAATATATAAAAATAATACTATTTTATATAACTTTCATAAATTGCAGATTTCACACATAGGTGAAATTGAAATATAATAAAAATTCTCAAATTTGCAATTAGATCCTTGTGAAATATCAAATTCTCTAAACAAAGCCCACAAACTCAAAACACGTTTCACGTCTTCCCGGCCAATTCGGCCGTCGTCCTTGCCGTTGAGAATCGCTCGGCCGAGGGGATGTACCGATTCTCGCCGGTGATGTACTCACCCGACTGGTTTTTCTTCTGAAATCGGGTAATGAAATTGACAAAAATCCCTAACTATTCGTCGCCGTGTCGGAGAGAATTAGGGCTTGTCGGGTGGCCGTGGGGCGCTGGTGACGACGGGGCTGCGACGGGCTGCGCATTGGTGCAGTTTCGATGGTCATGGCTGAAGCGGACGGCCGCTGCGTAGCTTTGCCGGCGGCGGCGATCCTTCGGCCGCAGTCGGTCAGTGGAATCCGGTGGTGGCGGGGACGCTATGACAGTTACGGATGAAGGAGGTTGTGGTGGTGATGCTCACTCCGGCGGCGACAGTGGCGCGGCTGAGGCGGCTGTGGCAGGGTGGGAGCAGATTTGGCAGTGCATATCTCGTTTTTTGTGTGCGTAAATGGTGTGTGTGATGTGTGTGCTACGTGTTAGTGTCTGTGAGATAGTGTGTGTGTGTGTGTGTATGTATGAGAGATAGAGTTTGGGTGGTGTGGTTGACTTGGGCCACGTGTGTGATGTAATTGTGTATAATGTCTAAATTTCCCTTAATGAATGTATAAAATGTTGTATTTTTTTAGCCGTTAGATCATCCGATCCAATGACTGTGATGCATTCTTATTTCTTTCACTGAGAACCTTTCTCATTGGAGCGTGACTCTATATCCCTCTACATCTTAATAAAGGAATGTTATGTTGCCTCATTTCTTGACACGTGGTTGGCTTAACTTTCTCCTATGCATTTATCACCCAAACCAAAATGATTAATAAAATTCTAAAAAAATAATGCACGTGATGCTACATAAAAGACCACACAAAATTGGGACAATTATTACAATTGTAAGGGCACTTATGTCCCTATAAATAAATAGACAGTATAAATTACTAAAAAGCCACTAAAGTAATAAACCAGTTGTAAAATCACATATTCTTTATTACGGTCTCATTTATTTACATGATTAGTGTCTCCTTCTTTTAATTGAGTAGCTTCACTCTTTTTGAATGATAGACAACTAAATTATGTACGTTTCATTTTTTCTTTTTTCTTTTTTTTGGCAGACTTCAATTACATATTTAGAAACTATTTTACAAGTACTCTTTTTTTCTTTAATTTATGTTCTTTCTCTTAATTTTTTATTTAATTATAATAAATATAAAATTGTTAACCTAAATGTACTTAAATATATATAATTACATAAAATACAATTTATTTGTATTACATTATAAACATTTTATAAATCAATTAGCTATTTTTAATCTATGTATTGGTAAATATAAAAAAATTCCCGCAGAAAAGAACTCACTCCGGGAGAGTGAGTTGGGGGGGGGGGGGGGGNACTTATTCTGGGGGAGTGAGTGGGATTATCATGTTTTTATCATCAATAATTAGTAATGTTTTTAATTGAACTAATATTCATGCTTAATTATAATAGATGCATATTTTTTTAATAATTGCATGGCTTTGTTTATCTGACCAGAACTTATTTACTTGACTAAAAAATATTTTTATTTTATTATTATTTCTATTTTTATTATATTTTAAATCACTTTAATAAATATTTAAAATATTAGTTATTTTTATTTTTTAAATAATTATAAGTTTGATATGGGATATTATACGACTAAGGAGCAGACCGGTCCATCATGTCGGTCAGGCAGGCATAGGGTGGAGAAAACCACGTTGGTTGAAGAATGATCGACCGAAACGGAACAGATCGAGCAGAATAGCAGAGCTGGTCGAGGATCGATTTATTAAGGGGGAGCTCGATCAGATCGAGCACGTAGCAGGAAGGAAGCAGTCGAGAGCGTGACCTCAACGCGAATGGGCGCGTGAGTGATGTCAGGAGATCCCAACGGTTTGCGCAAGGGAATAATTCCCCTCAGCTCAGAGGGGGGCACGTGGCGAAAATGTATTGGTGCAGAGTGATAGTGGTAACAACCACCTCTGACACCCCTGACATTTCTGACAACACGTACACTGTGTGTGTACGGACGGGCAGCAAGGGCAGGACAGCTCACCAATATCCGGGCAGCTCTTGGGGCAGGTATCTCACTCCTATATATATGGGAGTGGGTCTTTTCTTAGGGTTTACGATTTATCCATTCTTTACTTTGAAAAATTGAACAAACATATACTGACTTAAGCATCGGAGGCTCTTCACCGGAAAACTCCACCGGTGTGAGAGTTCTGTGCAGGGGCGCGGCGTTCTATCGGCGAGGAAGAAGGAAGCAAACCGATTCCAAGCCGGTCGGAGTGTTTTGCGTTACCATTTGGCGCCGTCTGTGGGACTTTCGTTCGAAAAGTGGTGTGCTGAGATTTCTGAAGCTTGGTAGCTATGGCGGACGGAATTCCTAGGAGAGATTTACAGGCATCATTCGATGATGCGTGGACGATGACGAGGCCGTTTGGAGATGGCCCACCTCCGGGCTTCTCTGGACCCTCGCGTACACCGGTGACTCCAACGCCTGTTCCCCAAGGTGTAGAAGTCACGCCGGTGCAACCAGAGGCTGATGTGGGCTCAAATCGGGCCCAGGAGACCCGCACAGCTCAAGGCGCGGCGGCCCCAACGCCGCCGCAACCAGATCTGGCCGCGACGCTGCAGCGAGGAGTGGCGGTATAAGGAGTGGTGCCGCTGCCGGCGGAGGAACAGCGTCCTTGCCAGCAGATGGTGATGACTAGGCAGGAGATGCAGCAGATGGTGGCGAACGCGGCGGCACAAGCGGTTCAGCAGGTCACTCAAAGCCTTTCGCGAGTGGCTGCTGGGCCAACGATGGTGGATGAGGACGTGTCTAGCTATGGGGGAGATGGGGCCTTAAGAGATCGTGAGGTGGAGAGGCTCGCGGAACAGGTGAGGCAGATGCAGGCTAAGATGGATGGTCGACCTGAAAGACGTGCTCGAGGACATCCGTTCTCGAGGGATATAATGGCGGCACCATTACCTGCGAATTTCAGAGACATGAGTTTGATGTTCGATGGGACCACTGACCCGTCGAGGCATGTAAGGGCGTTTGAGAATTTGGCTGTGTTGCATGGTTATTCTGACTCGGTTAGCTGCAGGGCATTCTTGTCGACCTTGAGGGAGGCGCGCTCGACTGGTTTCAGCAGCTCCCTCATGGATCGATCAAGGACTTTGATGATTTCGCGGAAAAGCTAATGACCCAGTATGCGAGTGCGGTGGCACAGGAAAAGACGTACTTGACGTTGATGGCCATGAGGCAAGGGGAGAAAGAATCATTACGCAAGTACGTCGCGCGATACAATCAAACTTGTTTGGAGATCCCCACGGCCTCAGACGAGGTGAAGGCTGGGGGGCTGATACGAAGTTTGCGAGAAGGTCCTTGTCGAACATCTTTAGCCAAAACCCCTGCTCGTACGTATGATGATGTGCTAAAAAGGTGCAAGAAGTACATTAATTTGGAGGAACCGGAGGCTGAGTTCGCTAAGTTGGAAGAATTGGCTAAGCCAGAGCCGAAGAAAGGAAGGGTAAGCTCGCCTCGAAGAGTATCCCTAGGAAGAAGATCGCCCAGAAGAGAGGGGCGTGGTAGGGTTGATCGTGGTAGAGAAGACAGGTGGAAGGATCGACCGGTATTGGGGGGGAAGCTTTCCAACACTTTACGCCCCTTAATGCGAGAATAGGAGAGGTGTTGATAGCTATCGAGAAGAAGATAGAGGATAGGGATGTGACGTGGCCTAAGTCGAGGCGTGAGGGGCCGACACAGCCTAGGTCGAGCAAGTATTGCCGTTTTCATAAAGATTATGGGCACAAAACAGAGAAGTGTAGGCACCTCAAGGATGAGATCGAGCGCCTTATCAGGGCCGGGTATCTCAAGGAGTTCGTGTACGAGGGAAAGACAAAGGGGGAGGATAAAGGGAAATGTCGAGAGGACTCGGTGGAGCGGAGTGATCGGGATGATATCGAGGAAGGTGATCCCCGAGGAGGAAGGGGTGATCGAGGAGGCAAGAGGAGACGAGGGAGTCAAGATCGAGGAGGTCAGGAGGATCAAGGCCCGGTGAAGAGAGGAACGATTTATATGATCTCGGGGGGCCCAACTGATGGGGACTCGAACAACGCTAGGAAGGGACATGTTCGAGCGATAAAGAGGAAGAGAGAGGAGGTGGGGATCACTGCTCGGATGCCGGAGATAAGTTTTTGGGCGGAGGATGCAGAGGGAGTAGTATTACCCCACAATGATGCGCTTGTGATAACGGCGGAGGTGGCTGGTTTCGATGTGAAGAGGGTGTTTATTGATACGGGGAGCTCAGTTGACATGATGTTTTATGATTGTTTTGTGCAGATAAACAAGGAGCTCAATCTCGACTTAAAGCCGGTGACCACAGCCCTATATGGATTCAACGGGGGCGAAGTGATGCCGGTGGGAGAGGTGAGCCTTTCTGTTGCCTTGGGGCAAGGAGTGACGAGGAAGGTGCGAATGGTGCGGTTTGTGGTCATTGGAGCAGAGTCCTCGTACAACATTATCATGGGAAGGACCAGCTTAAATGCTTTCCAGGCGGTCGTGTCGACGTACCACATGACGATCAAATATCCAGTGGGGGAAAACGTTGGTGAGGTCGTAGGAGATCAGCTTACCTCGAGGAGTTGTTATCAGACCACAGTGAGCAATAATAATCAGCTCTCGAGGAAGCGAGCGAAGCTTGGAGAGGAAGTATCGAGCGGACCTGGAGGCTCGAGATCAAGAGAAGAGAAGGAGAGAGCCGATAAGGGGAAGGAGAAGGTGGAAATGCAGCCAGGAGGGGAGATTGAGGAGGTCCAGATGGTGGAAGGGTGCGAGGATAGAAAATTTCGGATAGGTAAGGAGATAGAGGAACCCCTAAGGTCGAAATTGATTGGGTTGATCAGAGAGTTCGTGGATGTTTTTGCTTATGCGGCGGAGGAGTTGACAGGGATAAAGGCGGAGGTGATAGAACATCGTTTGAATATCGACTTAACGGTGAGGCCAGTGAAACAAAAAAGACGACACCACGGCGTAGAAATGGACAAAGTGATCGAGCAGGAGGTCGAGAAGTTGTTAAAGGCAGGCCACGTTAAAGAGATCCAGTTCCCTGAATGGTTGTCGAACACGGTGATGGTGTCTAAGTCTGGGGGAAAGTGGAGGATGTGTATTGATTTCCGAGACTTAAACAAGGCGTGTCCGAAAGACTTGTATCCTTTGCCCAGGATCGATCAGTTGGTCGATTCTACTGCAGGTTGTGAGTTGCTCAGTCTTATGGATGCATCCCAGGGGTATCACCAAATCCCTTTAGCTCGAGATGATCGGAAGAGGGTGAGTTTTGTTACGAGCAAGGGCACTTATTGTTATGTGGTGATGCCTTTCGGTTTAAAGAATGCAAGGGCGACATATCAGCGGTTGGTCGACAAGATCTTTAAGGAACAGCTGGGGAGGA